CTTGTCTGTGAACCCCGACGATTGCCATAGCCGATGCGACGTCAAAAAAGACATCCGTGGCAATAATAGACGTCCGGTCGAATCGAACTCCAGGGCTGGAGTCAATTCATTTTGCGGCATGTTGTAATGATGGCTGCTCCGTAAAAACACAAAACAAGCGATAATGCATAAAATCCCACAGCAAACATGAAAGGTTGCCTGAACACTGAGTATACTGATACATGCATCAAATAAACGGATACAAAGCAGGGATCGGGGACGGGGAATATAAAAAAAAGAACACTATTAGGACGATCGGCGTTTACGCAAAAAAAAAAGAAGTCAAAAAATAGGCGGACTTTGAAAAATCAGGCCAAGTCCGGGCTTTTTGACACCCCCCCACGCGCTACCGAAGTGCCTTAAATTCGCTGGTCCTAACAACACAAGCCTATCAGCGTCCTCCCTCGCATTGCGCTCTGAAAAAATCTGGACACTTCCCAACAGGTATTTCAGAGCCATCTAACACGACGTCAGACGCTCATTTACCTCGTATCGTGCCCGCAGCAGCCCATACACCCCCATTGTACCATCACCCAATATACTAGACGGGCTTAAATTGGCTTGCAGGTAAGACACCCTTAGCACATATATCCCGGTCTCCGCAATTTTTGATCACTCGCGTCGATTCAATGCAGGATTGCCATTGTGCGACTACCCTTACCGTTTTCTAATCTTCTTCGCTTCGTCACATACCTTTTCCCTCTTTTCAAACGTTTCGAAGAAAAGTTGTCGGCCTTCGCTACTCGAGATGAATACTGCAGAAAACATTAATGTTTCAGCCGATAATCGTACGTCCGATGGCAGAAAGCAGAGCCCTCCTGCTTTCCTCGACCTCGCAGACTCGGTACGTTCAACACCCTAATACAGCAACGCTTTTTCTTAAAAAATGTGACCGCGACGCGTGGCAGGCTGCGAGGCTGGGTACCAATATGCCCGACATCTCGGCGGTGAGTTTTTTGTGTTCAACCCTTCTCCGCACAAGATTGTCCATCTCAACCTCGATACTTGTAAAAAGCGTGTGGAGCTAAAGAGATTGGAACATGAACGTCAGCGCGCATTGCAAAGGAAGATGTTCGAAGACCAGATGCGTGCGTTGGAGCACCAGCAAGCGCAGGAGCTCCTCAGTATCCCTTACGAGTCGATGACTTCTGCTCATTTGGCTGTCTCTGCCCCGACGACACCTCCCCGGGTAAACGCTATCTTGCAAGGAGATGGACTCGCCAAGTCGTCATTATCTCATTCTTCAGTCGATGCTGACGTCCTGTCGAGAGCCGTTGGCTCTGCTGTCGACAAGAGAAAGTCTGTCACCTATGCACCCTCCGTCGATCGTTCCCCCGAACTTGGGTCGGCTCATGTGCTCAACGGCCAGTACGCTCGCGGAGGGGCGAAGAGTATGCCGGCAAGTCGTCGCACGTCCACAAGCAGTCACGACGAGGAGCTTGCTGAACATTTCAGAGGCATGGCCCTCTCCAGTGAAAGACCCGTTGGAGCTTCTCCAAGTCCTGGACTCACGGTTCAGTCTATGTTGACGAGAGCACGTTTCAGCGAGGAGGACCACACTCGCGCTAGCCAACAATATAACTTTGGCATGATGCTCGACGAACAGTTAGACCAGGAAATGCATAGTGAGCCATTCTTTTTTTTTTTTCGTTTTTGTACTAGTTTCCTTACATTTCAAAGATGCGATGAGGAATTTACCAACGTCAGATGATGACAAATTTGCAGCTTATGCAAATAAGGTGAGCACTTCTAGTCTGCATTCCCCACCGAGCCTATATATTAGGTTAGATATCCACGTCGTCTGCCGCTTTGGATCTTGCGCACCGGTCGCAGACTTCCCCACGTAATTCGTTTACCGGTCGCGACAAGCCGTCTGAGTGGCCGCAGTTTACTGGCAATCCCCGCGTCCCAGAAAGCCTCGCCTCACGTGCTGAACGGCGTACCGTCACAACGCCGACGGTTACACTTACATCATCTCCCCTAGATCTCAGTGCCAAGTTGTCTAGCATAGTTACCGGAGCGTCGACGCCACCAATCGGCCAACATCCTCAGATTACCCTCGGTGCGGCGCCCTCGTCTCGCAGGAGTTCTCCTGCAGGGGCCCTGGAGAGTTTTTCGACGAGATCAGTGCCCGCTACGCCTCTCTCTATTACGAATGGAAGCTCTCATATGCTCCAAGCCCCTGGGACTCCGCTCACTCCTGACACTCAGGGTATGAGTGGTCGCATTTCTGCTCAAGGCAGTCAGCACTTGGGTGGCGAGGTTAAAACTGATATTCAGCCTTCTTTGTCGCGTCTATCGTCGGGTCAGTATGACGGATCCGCCTTGTCATTCGAGGTACGAGGACAGTGCTCTCCTTATTCTTTCTCACTCAATACCATTGCAGCAGTACAGCGTTGATTCGGTGTATAATCTCAACAACCAGCTCGATGGTACCCGCTACAACACTTACGGTTTTGATTCCAGTACTCGAAGTGGCCACGGTGTGAACGGCGCTGCTAGTGGTTCGACCGCTCTCTATCATCACAACAACTCGCGCTACGGGCCCGGCATGGGTCGCGGTGGGCCCGATGGTAAAATGAACGGACTCCACGGACCCAAGCACAAGCGAGGTGATATGGATCGTAAGTTTTTCTGTATTCTTGCTATGGCGTGGCTGAGTGTCTCCTGTAGTTAACCGTTTCGCTGGGACTCGTCTGGAGGACCTACAAGGAGAGATTCTTGCCCTTTGCAAGGATCAACATGGATGTCGTTACCTCCAGAAGAAACTGGAAGAGGGCATACCAGAGCATCGGGACATGATATTTCGCGAAACGTTCGGTCACTTCGCTGATTTGATGACGGGTATGTCTCTTCGTTCCTCTGTCTTTTGCGGAGGCATTTACGTGTTGCCGCAAAGATCCGTTTGGCAACTACCTGTGTCAGAAATTGCTAGAGTACTCGACGGACGAGCAACGGAACTTGATTTGCGAGTCTGTTGCCCAGGATTTGGTCAATATCTCGCTGAACATGCACGGTACTCGTGCTGTACAAAAAATGATTGACTTCCTGTCAACTAGACGACAGGCAAGTCAGATTCTAGTGCTTTTTCACTTCAACACTTACGGCAAGAGTGTAGGCTGATCAAAGATACGATATACAGATTCACTCGATCATTGTCGCGCTTAGCCTTCACGTTGTTGTGCTAATCAAAGACCTCAACGGCAATCATGTCATACAGAAGTGCCTCAACAAGCTTGTTCCCGAGGACAATCAGGTACGGAGCTGTTAACTCCCTCGTAGTTTATCTGACGTTGTGAAAGTTTATTTACAATGCTGTTGCTGCAAATTGTGTGGAAGTTGCCACTCATCGTCATGGATGTTGTGTACTACAGCGGTGCATTGATCATGCTTCCGACCACCAGCGTATCCAGCTTGTCAATGAAATCACCTACAATGCTCTTACCCTGGTTCAAGATCCATATGGGAACTATGTGAGTCGTTACATTCGCCTGTTGACTGCGACTACTCACCAGCACCTCAGGTCGTGCAATATATTTTGGATTTGAACGATAATCGCTTCAGTGATGCAGTCATCCGTCAGTTCACGGGGAATGTTTGCGCGCTATCTGTACAGAAGTTTAGTTCAAACGTTATCGAGAAGGTTGGTCTTCATCTGGTACTTTCTTGTATTGCTCATCCATCACCCAGTGTATCCGGGTTGCTGAGCATAGCACCAGGAAGATTATTATCGAAGAACTCCTCAACCGGTCGCGTTTGGAGAAACTTCTGCGTGATTCGTACGGCAACTACTGCGTTCAAGTGAGGAGTGTGCGCTGGCCCGTTCGCTTTCGTTGAATTCTTTCTTCTAGACTGCCCTGGATTATGCGGACCCTGGTCAACGCGCGCTACTGGTCGAAGGCATTCGACCTGTATTGCCGTTGATTCGGAATACCCCTTATGGGAAACGTATTCAAAACAAGCTCCAACGCGAACATGTTGACAATTTCAACGGTGGATACCAGGGTCCCCAGGCGATGGTCAACATGAACCTCGGCAATCAAGCCGTTGGACTTGGACATGGTCATCTGGGTCCTGCTACACGTCACATTCCCCAAAATATGCCTATGGCGGACCTGTACGGCTCTCAACCCGGCCTGTACGGGATGCAAGGTCAAGGATCGTATGGTCATGGTCCATTGGCTCCCCAGATGCACGGTCTCGGAGCACGATCGATTGATGAATACGTTTTGCAAAGCCATTCTCCCCACAATACCAGGTTGACTCCACCCCACACCCACGGTGGGGGGTACTCTGGCGTTTCCGGGTATGCTAACGTGAGCGCGTTTGGCAACGTCGGCCTTGCTGGGTCGTTAAATGATCCTTACCAGAGCTACGGCTACGGCATGTGAAAGGGTGGTCCGCTGAGTTGCACACTGATTCAATTCGGTCGACGTTGTGGCTCTCACCATTCCCTATTTCTATGTATATTCTATGGCCTTTGCATTTTGACGACCGATACCTCATTCGCGTTGCATGGCTCGCTCAAGCTGGCGGTTTGTTTGGGAGGTACTTACGCCAAAAGGGATCGGCCGGCTTCGATCAATACCACCACCGCAATTGTACATTGATCCGGCATACAACCAATTTCCCTGCAGTACTATTTTGCTTGCTTTCTGAACACTTTCCCCACCGTTCCGTCGCATTTGTATAGCCTTAATCTTGGTCTCTCCATCATCTAAAGCAATGTTCTGTTTAATGGTTTAAACTGTCGCAGCACTACGTTTTTGTACTTATTGTGCAATTTTATGCCATGGTTGACTCGGAGCTAACGGAGCCTTGTATGTATGTTTCCGGACCTGAGTAGCCTGGTAACCAGACGCCTTAGGATGCCTGTGGCTAACATCAGTTCTGAGGATCAAGCTTCAAGACCAAACCGTGTGTGGTGAAAGGTAGGTGAACAAAAAAAAGACAAGCTTCATAGCCCACCGCGAGGGTCGAACTCGCAGCCTTCAGATCGCCTAGGTTTAAGAGTCTGACGCTCTATCCGATTGAGCTAGGCGGGCGATATTAAAGCGCTCCATTGGAGCATGTTTGTCACTTAGTGCGACTGTGCTGCATCGTACACAAGTGGGTCACGTTCGAGGCTTGCCAAAGCAGTGTCAGGGACGTATGGAGGTGCGAGTTGCGAAATGACCGATAGATGCTACAATATTTGCTGGGGTTAGGGATCTCATGGGCTCCGTAACTACAGCTCCCGGTGTGTGTCGAGTTCAGCCACCATGCAGGAAATTTCGGCACTTCAGTGCTGTAGGGGTTTGTCTAATACTCTAGCACGACATTCTTGAGCTTGTGTCCGATAATCAGATCTGGAACACAAGTTGCTGCGGGGAGTCAAAGTATGACGTATTACTAATCACTTTAGTCCATAAAACGTTGCCGAACAAGGGGGACGCAAGTCACCCGCTCAGTATTTTTTTTTTGTTCCTCTCACTTACACTCCCTTGCAATTTTACCAAACTATTAAGCTGGCTGCTATGCGCTCTCTGTATCGCATCGCTGCCGGCCTCACCGCCGCAGCTCTTGTTGTCTCCGGCGTGCATGCCATCCAAAGGGTCTCAAGGGCTGGTAGATACCTCTATACTGCGGACGGAAACAGGTTTTACATTAAGGGCGTCGCGTATCAGCAGCAAGGTCCGTGAATCGTAGTGCATGTTCCGTCTTCGTTCGAGGTCGATGGGTTTTCAATAGGTGCTGTCGTGGCTGACACTAGCAATCCGTTCTTGGAGCCATCTACCTATATCGATTCTCTCGCCAACGGAACCGACTGCCAGCGCGACCTACCTTACCTCCAGCAACTTGGAGTCAATACTATTCGAGCCTACAGCGTTGATTCTAGTCTCAACCACGACACATGTATGCAACTATTTAGCAACGCAGGTATATACGCTATGTGAGTTCCTGTCTCTCGTACTTCCGCTATCTGACGAACATGAGCTTTTCAGCATCGATTTGTCACTGCCAGTCAATGGGTCTATTAACCGCGACTCCCCTGCATGGACTACGAATCTCTTGGATCTCTACCTCGAGACCGTGAACACCTTTTCAAAGTACGACAACGTGCTTGCCTTCAATGTTGGTAACGAGGTTGTCACGGCGGCGAACGAAACCGGCGCTGCTACATTCGTCAAAGCCGCAGCTCGTGACGTCAAAGCTTACCTGTGAGCAGTGCAAACGTTCCTACTTTGGCCAACACGTTTTAATGCATCATGTCAGCAACTCCATCCAATCATCCGCTCTCGTTGGTTATGCAGCTATAGACGGAGATGCATCCTGGATCGTTCCTCTGGCTAATTACTTGTCCTGCGACCCGTCTGGTTCGAATTCAGGTGCTACAGCCATTGATCTTTATGGCTTGAACAACTAGTCAGTGTTAGTCGGCGCATTGGGTTGGTGCGACTCATTCTATATTCTAGCGAGTGGTGTGGCGACTCCACCTTCGAAGCTTCTTATGCGGGCACGGAGGGCAACTTCGCCGGTTACAACGTTCCGGCTTACTTCAGTGAATTCGGATGTATTACAGCAGGAACTCCACGTCCTTGGACCGAAGTCGGCGCCATTTTCAGTTCCGAGATGTCCCCCGAGTGGTCAGGCGGTATTGCATTTTCGTACTTCCCGGCAAGCAGTGTTCAAGGCCAGTTCGGCATGGTGAACATCTCGTCTGACGGCAGCACTGTTACCACTGGTCAAGACTTTGATAATCTCAAGGCACAATACACTCAGGCGTCCCCTCCGAACTCGCCCTCGGAAAGTTCCGCCGGTTCGACTAGCTACCCCTCATACCCTCAACAGAATTCGACATTCGTAGCCTCGACTACCCTACCTCCAACACCCAACCTATCAGCATGCACGTGCTTAGAGAACAATCTCGGCTGTCAATTTACTCCTACGACATCCAATTATACTTCAATCCTGGGTTCCCTGTTGGATTACGCCTGCAGCCTACTCGGTCAGTCCGGAGGCTCCTGCAATGATATTTCTGCCAATGGCACGAGTGGTACATATGGCCTTGTCTCTGAGTGTGATCCCAGTACGTATTGTATCCATGTGAACAGGGATGCTCGTTGACGTTTATTTCTTTTAGCTGTCATGTTGTCATATGTTATGAGCGAGTACTACGGCGCCACTAGCAACAACCCTCAGTCGTGCAGCTTTGGTGGCAACGGTACCGTCAATTCGAACGCTAAATCCGCACCTACTTCGGCGGCATCTTCGTGCTTGGCGACGGCCACTGGCACCTTCGTGCCCACGTTGCCCAGCGGAGTGGCTTCAACGACCCCTACCGGAGCTGGATCTTCTAGCGGATCGGGATCCGGAAAATCGTCAGGCAGCGCTCCGATTGCCGCTTTCGATGCGAGGGTCTTCTTTGGCGTCGGCGTTCTTGTGGTGACGAGTATGGTCAGCGGTTTCATGACACTTGCGTAGTAGGGTATATAGTTTGAGGATGGACCTACTTCCTAATTTTTCTTTTTCATTTCTTACTGTGGACTGTTTTTGTATTTGGCTACGTAGCAAGCGGAGTTTGATTTTTGAGGTCATTCCCCTGTGTGGGCGCCTGCTTGACAACTTTTTCCTTTTTCCTCCACTACGATGGCTGCCTCCCCCAGTGTTGTGGACGACATCCAAACCAGGGACAGGTGGGGCGCAGTAGACGACCAAGGTATCGACGATATGGGCCCTGTAAAACTCGACCATGATACTGTCATGGACGACCTGCCGACTGCCATCGCTGCGGAAGACCCCTCTACTTTTGTGAACGGCAACGGCGAAGACATTTCGACCAGCACCCTCAAGCCCAGGGACGACGCTACTCGCGACAGACCACCCAAGGTGCTTAACAATTCACTTGTTTTGCCGTTCCGTCTCTCCTGCGTGTCTCTGTCTTCGCTCGTCGTGGCGAGTCATCTGCTGTTGCTTGGCCACTCCTCGCTGCCTCATGGCTGGATGCTTGATGTTTACGTGGCGCCGGTAGGTTCCTGTTGATTTGACTGTTACTAGGCTGGGTCGCCATGCACATGTCTATTAAGAGGTCTGGCTAGGCCCCTATACACTTGCCCGTCTCATGCAGGAGCCTTCTACTTCTACGGCCGGCCTTGTCTATCTTGTTCTTGTCTCCTGTCTTCCTGGTATTGAACTTCAGTTTGCGTCTTGCGCAGCCGAACAAAGTATACATCGGCGGTCTCCCGGAAAACACACGCCCGGAGGACCTTCGGAATGGGTTCGGGAAATTAGGGAAAATCGTTAATATCGAGTTGAAGTAGGTCACCGTACTTTTTTTTTTCTATCCTCAGCAGCGCACTTCTGAACTCTTCCCTTTTTCTCTTTACCTTTTCTTCAGGACTGGTTATGGCTTCGTGGTGAGTGTATTAGGTATCGACCCGTTGGTAGATGATATCGAACGTCCTTGTTAGGAATTTGACAATCGCCAATCAGCAGAAGAAAGTGTTGCGAAGTACCACGAGGGGTACTTCATGGGAAACAAGGTGCGAGTCGAGATAGCGCACGGTAAGGGACGTGGCACGAAGCGAACAGAAGATCCTGGTGCTTGCTTTAAATGTGGAGAAAATGGTCACTGGGCAAAGTGTGCACGCTCTAAGCACCATAGGTGCGAACTTACTCACGGGCGGTTTGACAGGGAATGTTCTCGCCAAACTACGCACTCGTAGGCTAAGCTATGGGCATTCTCTTTGTGTTGTCGCTCATACCCATCTTTCTAGACGCAGTGGCGCAGCAACTGAATCGACTCTACTTGATCGCCTACATCCGCGGGACTACCCAACGACACGTGACTATCCCTGTTTACCGCGACGACCCTAGTCGGTATGTACCTCGAGAAAGTCGCTATTATGACTCCCCTCCGCCACCCTCGCGGGATTACCGACGCCCTGCAAGCCCTGCAAGGGACCACCGTGACTATCCGATAGCCACCTCCGCGGTCCTCGCATGAATACGACGACTGTAGGACTAGGGGCCCGCCATCCTCGCGTTACGACCGATCCGGATACGACCGGGACTCGTACTCGTCGATGAATCCACCCGCACCTAGGGATTATGATCGATACGATAGAAGACTCGCGAATGACAGGTATGAGCCGCCTGGCGGTCGGCCCAGGACGCCTCCTGGCCCTCCTCCAAGTCGTCGGGATCACTACGATCGGCCTTCGCGGTACGCTACGACTGATGTGACCTGCACACACCAATGGTTAACGTGTTTGGTAGCGGCTTTGAACCTCCGGAACGTGTGGAGCGTGGTCGGCCAACGACCCCACCTCGTTCTGTCGATTATGCTCGCAGCCGCAGCTTGGAAACAGTCCGATATCGGTGGGTGGACGTCTAAACGACTTACTTTCCGCAAGTTGACGATGTCCCTGTCAGCCGTCGCTCTCTCAGCCCTCGTTCCTCGAGGTATGAACCTGGTAGCTACTCCAACTCAAGCAACTACTCTGGAAATGGGTATGCGAGCGACAGGCACTCGGCATCCATGCGGGATAGTGGAAGAACCAGGGACTACTATCATAACGGCCGAGACTCCTGGCAACAGTTACAGGCCACTCTGAAAGTACTGGCTTCTGAAGTTCTCTGGCAAGTGTGCTTTCCCTCGCCATAGCAGGTACCATAAATAGCTTGTTAGTCTTCTCTACGCCTCAGTTGAATATTTGTCCTGCCACTGCTCAGATTCTCTTGCTCTAGTGGTATGTTTTCGTTCGTCTACAGTTTGCAGCAATAATACTACTTCCATTATGGGTATGACCTCGAGAAGTACAAAGCGAAAAGAAATGAGTGAATTCAAGAGCGTTTACACTAATGTACACTGAAGTGTTTCTCCCCTTTATGTTGGACTGCAGGACGAAGTATGTACGGCTACAAGCGACGCTGTAATTTGATAAACTAGTGTTGCCATAAAATGTAACTTTGACTGAATCTAGCGACCTGAATCATGAAGGATACGTTGTCTGACTACCACTTCGTAGGTACCATCTTCCACAGGCGCAGGTGCCAACGCGTT